CGAAAAACATCTCTTTTCCCTTAGCCCTAAATTTGTGCTTCTCTGTTGTATCCAGAGCTATGGCTGGAGAACCAAATATTCTGAAGTGTGACACTGAAGGCTTTCTATTGATCCAGACTTCAAATGGTGTTTTATTTACAAGAGCTTTAGTAACCGACCTGTTGCGTATGTATGCTGCCGTTGTGATGGCTTCCGCCCAAAATGCTTCATCCAATCCGGAGTACACCAGCATACTTCTTGCCATTTCAACCAGGGTTCTGTTCGCTCTTTCAGCAATGCCGTTCTGTTGCGGCGTATATGGCACACTTGTCTGCCTCTTTATGCCATTTTCGTTTAAATAACTATCAAACGCCTGGTTCAAGTACTCGCGCCCGTTATCGCTGCGTAAAATCTTAATTTTCGATTCGGTTTCGCGCTCCGCATTTACTTTGAATGACTTAAAAGCCGCAAAAACGTCCGACTTATTTTTTAATAAAGTAACATGTATGTATCGCGACTTATCATCTATAAACCTGACAAAGTATTGGTAGCCCGAAAAGGATTTATTGTTCATAGGACCACAGACATCACTGTGGATAATTTCTAATAGTTTATTTGATTTCTTCTCGGATGATACAAATGGCTTCACACAGATTTTATGGCTTCATTCAGTTTAAGTCCGAGCACAATGTTCTCGTTTGCCATTTGTCTTAAAGCTGTAAAATTCATATGTCCAAACCGGTTATGCCATCTCATTACGTTATTCTCTTTATTATTGGCAAAATTGCACTTGTTTTCGTCACCTACTCGCCACTCAAACACGTAAAGATCGTTTTTTCTCTGAGCTCTTATTTGAACAAGTCCACTTTAATTTTTAATTATAGCGCCCGATTCGAAGAACTGCACTGTGCTTTTACCTGAAGTAATTCGTCCAACGGCCAAAAAATTATGTTGGAGAGCTGGTATGTAAAGCACGTTTTCTGCTGTCAATGTCATTGAGCCAACCTTTATGCGTATGTTACCGCGACCGCAAGCCTCGACTGTATTGTTATCGACGAGCCAAACTTTTTCAGCAATAGGAGATAAAAAGGTAAAGAACTGCCTCTCACAGCACATGTGTGTTGTTGCTCCACTGTCCAAACACCAAGACTTCCACGTTAATGCGGAACCATTTGCTGTTGCTGCTCCAACTAACATCGACAATTTGAAGTCTTTCGACTTCTCAAGCTCTCTACTGTCCCGTTATTTTCTTTTTGCATTCTGAAGCGAAGTGTCCCCGCACTTTAGTGTAGCACTTTACACTTTTCTTTTTGATATTGTTGACATTGCCGTTTTGTTCATTTGACTTCTTTGACCTTCCAGCAAAATACGCCAGGTTACCGTTGCTGAGATTCGCATCTACCTTTTCCATACGTCGCTCCCCTTCTTCTATTAATTTGACTTTTAATGTGCTTAACGCTGGGAATGACTCGCGTGCTTCTATTGCCACTACAAAATTGTCGTAAGCCTCAGGTAAGCTGGATAACAAAATTATGCACAAAATCTCGTCTGTCAAATTTGTGTCAACCTGGGCAAGCATTTCTACTATGTCGGAAAATTCATTTATATGCGCGGACACATTGGCACCTTCCTGAAGTTTTAACGACATAAGCCTTTTGAACAAAGTGACCTTTCGAGCCGATAGCTAGTATTGGAAGTAGTTCATACATTTTGGAAGTAATGGAAAAATACACTTAGAGAAATATTTGGCATTGACTTTCAACATAAACGTCCAGAGAGACGAAAAAAAATAAAAGCCCATATAATTATTATGAGAAGACGTAAATAATATTCGTCTTGAAATAAACGTCCCGAGAGACGAAAAAAATAAAAAAGTCCATATAATTATTATGAGAAGACGTAAATAATATTCGTCTTGAAATAAACGTCCCGAGAGACGAAAACAAAAAAGCCCATATAATTATAATGAGAAGACGTAAATAATGTGCGTCTTGAAATAAAGGTCACGAGAGACAAAAAAAAAAAATAAAAAGCCGATATAATTATTATAAGAAGACGTAAATAATATTCGTCTTGAAATAAACGTACCGAGAGACGAAAAAAAATAAATATCCTATTTAATTATTATGAGATGACGTAAATAATATTCTTCTTGATATAATCGTCCCGCGAGATGAAAACAACTTTTCCTCTGTTCAGTAATAATTATTGAGCAATATTTAATTTTATTTCTTATAATCGTTATGGTCTCTGCTATTTATACATCGTGTGGAAAATTTTCGATGTATCGATGTTTTTTCGTCATCCCTATGTTATGTTTGGTGGTTTCTTGATTTTTCTCTTATCTGCTTTAGTTCGCTGACAATGTATCGACACTTTCTTTGCTTTTGACTACTTGCGGCTCTGTACTCCGTTGCGGTCTGACATATACTCTGCCTGAAAATTTTGGAACGTGAATAAGTTTGTTTTGCAAAGAAATAAAAAAGGTGAGAAAGTACCTTTCCACTGATACCTCGTAAGTCCATATCGGTAAAGAGTTGGAGCAGTTATTCAAGTTTTCCTTACCCAAACCTTTGAAAAAAGATAAAAAAAAACAGCATCAAATTCTTATTATTATGATTCCGTTGATAAAATTTTTTAATATTTTTATGTAGGTTTCTTAAGCTTAAACTGTTTTGTCATCTGGGAGAATTTTTTTCCAAAAAATCCTTTAAGAAACTATTTTTATTCATAAAAAACTCAATTTTAAGAGGTATTTTTAAACCGGTCCAGCTCACGTAAATCCTATTTTTCGAAATATTTTGGTAGAAGTCTTAAAATATACAAGGTTTGGTAATCCCGCCGGAAAAATTGCACTTTTTTTGTACATTGTACAGTAGTCGAAAAAATTATAGCCGCACCAAATTTTCACAAGTTTAAAATATTATTTTTGTTGTTATTTAATTTTGGTTTGGATTAATTTGGATTGGATATTTTGCAAAATTTGGTGCAAATCGTATCCCAATTGTGTGAATACCCAAATACTTTTCTTTATCCCAATCACGAAAATTAGTAATAATAGCCCAATATGCCACAGCCTTAAAAATTTATGTAATTTAAAAAAAGATTCAACAAATTTTCGTAAAAATTTCGAGTTTTTTAATTAGATTCTGAGTATGCAGTTTTGTTGCCCATTGAATTCTAGTAGAATAAAGTATAATTTTCAAATGGCTCGAAATTTGTACGAAGATTCGAGTAGTTGCAAAGTGCTCTATGTAAAATTTTTCCGATTTTTAGTTTTTGATGGGTTACGTACCAGTATTTAAAGAAGTTTCATGTCCACTAACAACACAGTGCAAAATCTTTTTATATTCTACTGAATAGCATAAAATGTTAACTCTTCTTCTAGATGTCGCTATCATACTTATTTATAAACTTTCAAAAGTACCCATCTTCTGATGAACCTGGAAAACTGCTTTAGGTCGTGTAGACTGTTAATGTTATCTTATGTCATGGTGTGTTATGTTATCATTGGGTTTGGGGTCAGAACACCCATAAAACCCCTCCCTTTTCTAAATACGGCCTTGTGTAGGAGGGTCGTTTAAAAAGTCAAACTGAGCTTGAATTAAGGGAATTAGGGATTTAGAAAATTAAACGAAAGAGCTGGAAGCTTTTAGTTTGAAAATAATATTTTGACGAGGGTTGCCAATTATTTGAAGTCTTATTTAATTTAAATATTCATAAGCTATAAGATATATTAAAATATGGATGTATAACGTAAGGGTGCATTGAAATCTTTAGTTCGAAGATTTAAACTTTGCCTTTCCCCGTCGCCAGTGGCGTTATATTTTTAACGCAAGTACATATTTCCAAACTCGATTAAGAAGTTTCCCATCAATTATTTGAGTTTCATTTTTTAAACAGGTGGCAACCCTCTTATATATAGTTAAAAAATAAAATAATCATAACCATTTGGATTGATACTCATATGTTATAACTCATATAACTTTTTAAATAATTTTAATATTTTGAATTTAATTTCTGTTATGTGGCAAAAGTTTTTTGGCAAAATAAAACCGTATTGCAGTTTTAACATCTGGCAACCCTTTTCAAAGAACCAAAACCACGTAAAAGGAAAGCCCTTTAATATATATATATATATATATATATATAAATAAATATATTTAACGCTTTAAGGGCCGTTACCGTATCTGTGTTCAGCATAAGTCCCATATGATTATTATGAGAAGACGTAAATAATATTCGTCTTGAAATAAACGTCCCGAGAGACGAAAAAAAATAAAAAGCCCATATAATTATTATAAGAAGACGTAAATAATATTCGTCTTAAAATAAACGTCCACAGACGAAAAAAAATAAAAAGCCCATATAATTATTATAGTATTTAAATATTACGACTCGACATCTGCATTTTTGACTGTCATGCTGAAATAATACGACGAAAATCGTCGAAAACTATG